ATCAAGTCATCTGTCGATGGACACTGAAGTTGCTTCTACATCTTGGCTATTGTGAATAAGGCTGCAGTGAAAGGGAGTGTAGATAGCTCTTCATGATCCTGATTCTAATTCTTTCACTGTAGCCCACCAATGGGGATGCTGAATCCGATAGTACTTCTATTTTTATTTATATATATATAGATAGATAGATATAGATATATATATTATTATTAATTTCAGAGAGGAAGGGAGAGGGAGAGAAAGATAGAAACATCAATGATGAGAGAGAATCATTGATTGGCTGCCTCCTGCATGCCCTACACTGGGGAACGAGCCCACAACCTGGGCATGTGCCCTCCCTGGAATCGAACCCTGACCTGGTTCCTAGGTCGATGCTCAACCACTGAGCCATGCTGCTGGGCTATTTTTATTTTTGTTTCCTTGTCTGAGGATCAGCACTACTGCCCTCCAGGGGCCACCTTGTGCCATGCCATGGTTACCCTCAAAGTGTTGCTGTGAGGAGTGGCTCCCAAAATGAAAGTCGGGGAGGAGAGCACTCCACTCCTGGGGCAGGTGAGGCTGTGAGGGTTGCGAGTCCCACAGGTGACTCTGATATGTGACTCCATGCTATGGCACTTGATACTCAGTCTTAGACAAAACTAAAGAAAAGAAAAATGAGGGGAACAGGGAAACAGGAGGGTCCTGTCTGTTTCACCAGCACCAGGAATGCATGTGAGCTGTTTCCAAGGGGGTCAGCTCTGCCTCACGGATGAGCCAGTCTTGTATCTGACACTGTTCTCCAGCCAATAAACACAGGAACAGGGAAGTTATGAAATGGCCTTAGGATCCTAAAGATTCTCATAAACAAAAATAAACTGATAAACAAAATAGATCCAGAGACATAGAAGTGTGGAACAGAGTATGGATTCAAAGAGGAGAGGTGGGGGAGGGTGGGTGGGAAGAGATCAACCAAAGAACTTGTATGCATATATGCATAACCCATGGACACAGACAATAGGGTGGTAAAGACCTGGGGTAGGGGCTGGGGGAGGTCAATGGGGGAAAACGGGACATACATAATACTTTCAACAATAAAGTTTTTTGTTGTTTTGTTTTTGTTTTGTTTTTTTAACTGAATGGGCCCTAGCCAGTTTGACTCGGTGGATAGAGCATCGGCCTAGGGACTAAAGGGTCCCAGGTTCAATTCCGGCCAAGGGTACATGCCCGGGTTGTGGGCTCGATGCCCGCCCCAGTGGGGGGTGTGCAAGAGGCAGCCAATCAGTGATTCTCTCTCATCATTGATGTTTCTATCTCTCTCCCTTTCTCTCTGAAATCAATAAAAATATATATATTTTTTAAAAACTGAATAGCAAAAAAAAAAAAATCTTTATAAACAAACCAGGATAAGGGGTTGTATCAAGAATATATAAAGACCTCTCACAATTCAATAATAGAAAGACACATCAGAAAAGGGTCAGAGTACGCACTTCTCCAAAGAAGATATACAAAGACCAGCACACAAAGGAAAGGAAAAGTGAAGACACACTACATCATACCCTTTTTGATGGCTAGAATTAAAAAGTCAGGTGTTGCCCTAGCCGATTTGGCTCAGTAGATAGAGCATCAGCCTGCAGACCGAAGGGTCATGGGTTCGATTCCGGTCAAGGGCATGTAGCTCGGTTGTAGGCTCCATCCCCAGCCCTGATCAGGTGGGGTGAGAGGGCATAAGTGTGACAACCAATCAATGTGTCTCTCTCACATTGATGTTTCTGTCTGTGTGGGTCTCCCCCTTCCCTTCCACTCTCTCTAAAAATCAATGGAAAAATACCCTTGGGTGAAGATTAACAACAACAACAACAAAAAGTCAGGTGTGGGGAGGCTGTGGAGAAGTCAGAACCCTCACATGCAGGTGGGAGTGAAAAGTGGTGCGACTTCTTGAAAAGAGCCTGGCAGTTTCTCAGAAGGTTAAACATGAAGTTAACTTATGACCCAGCAATTCCACTCCTCATTATATGCCCAACAGAAATGAAAATCTATGTCCACACAACACATGCACACAAATGTTAAAAAATATTATTCAGAACAACCAGAAAATGAAAGCAACGCAAGAGCTTACCAAACACAATAGTCATACAAGGAATAGTATTTGGCAATAAACATATACACCACAACATGGATGAACCTTGAAACATGCTAAGTGAAAGAAGCCAGACACGAAGGACCATATAACATGTGATTCTGATGATATGAAACATCTAGAATAGGCAGAGCTATAGAGACAGAAAGGAGATTCGTGGCTGCCTGGGGCTGAGGATGGGGGGAGGGTGGAATATTATGGCCAAGGCATGCAGGGTGTCTGGACAGTGATGAAAATGTTCTAAAATTGATTGTGTTGTTGCACCACTCTGTGACTATTACTAAAAGCCATTGAATTGCACGCTTACATGGGTGATTTGCACAGTATATGAAACTCATCTCAATAAAGCTATTAAAATAATAAAATAAATCAGATTCTTCCTTGGACACCTGCTTGAGACAAGGGCAGTTTCCAAGTCTCTGCATCCAATCTAGTTCACAGAGGGAGAAAAAAAAAAATAGAGCGTTCTGGAAGGTAGAGCAGTTGTATTGCAACCCCAGGCCCAGAGGGCTCTTCGGTGGCTACTGCAGCTCATTGAGGCTCTCTGAGGCCAGAGGACGCTCTCCAGAGGGCTACCACCATGCCCCAAGGAAACTAACATGTGAGCCTGGGCAGGGCACGGAGCTCTGCAAGGTCATGCATGGGCTCCAGACCCACAGGCACCTGCTCTAAAGACAAAGAGATGGAGCGGAAGGAGCATGAGCTTTGGCAGCACACAGACCCAGATCGGCACCACGTCTCTTCCGCCTCTTAGCTCCATGACCTCAGCCCTTTCCTTCATCTGCAAAAAATTCAATAATACTGCCTCTCACATAAGCTCCCCTCCTCCTGTTTGGTTTGTTTTGTTTGGCTACCATTTCTTGACGGCTTACTATGTACTCAGTAAATGCTGGCTATGTATTATTATCATATGTTTTGTCTTCCCTGCAGCCCTGGACAAAGCCAGGACTATTTGCTATTATACCCTTTTTACAGAATTGGGGACCGAGGCTCAGAGAGGTCAGGCCACTTCTCCATTGTCACACAGCCGGTAGACGGGAGAGCCACTATGCTGAGTCTGTCATTTCAGGTGCTATACTACGAACTCCACCCATATAGGTGAAGGATGACATTTCATAAGGTCAGAGTTGGCCAGGAGCTGGGCCCTTAGAAAAGAGTTCCAAGAGCCAGGTGCCAAAGTCCTGCTCCCTGAGTGGTGTCCCCACCCAGAGGTCACAGAGAGGACAGCTGCAGTGACCGGGGACTGATGATGCTCTGGATACACACATTTCTTGAGCACTGAGTGCCTGGGGCTGTGCGGTGCGGTTTCCTTGCACCTGCTAGAGGCTGAATGGACTCCTCGAATATCCCACATGTCCCCTCCTCTGGGGTCTCCACAGGGAGGCAACGGTGTGGGGAAGGAACCGCGTCCTTTTGCTTTTGCAGGGGGGAGGCAGAGAATTAATTAACTACTGGTCTAAAACCAAAAAGAGCGGGTGAGAAGCAAAAAGCAGAGGGTGAGGTGTAGGCAGGGCTGTGAAGCAGCCAGTGGGCCCCCAAAAGCAGATGTTCTCGCCACGTCTCCCCCAGTGAGAAGGCTAACCTTGGCCCTCCTGAGTCCAGCCACTTGCACCCTGTGTACCAGTGATTACTGGGCTGACAAATTACCCCAAACTCAGCAGCTTAAAACAGTCATTTTCTCATGTGTCTGCATTGTGTGGAGCAGGTACCTGGTAAAGGGATGACCAGGGATGACTTATCCCCATTCCATGATGCCTGGGGCCTCACCTGGGAAGACCTGCAGGCCAGGATGACCTGACAGCGGGGGACGGGGGGCGCTGGGGTCTCCTGGGGCCGGTTCATACACATGCCAGGCGCCTGGGCTGCGAAGGCTCAGAGTCAGACCAAGGACGGAGCACCTCGTGTGGCCTCCCCACGAAACGTGGCTTCCTCACATCACAACACAGCAGCCTCGGGTGGTAAGACCCCTCGCTTCGTGCCCAGGGCTCCAAGCACGAGTGTCCCAGCAAACAGGGCCGAAGCTGCCCCACCTTTCATGTCTCAGCCTGGGACGCCCCACAGCGTCACTCCTCAGCTGCCCCGTCGTCATCAAAGCAGTCACCAGCCCACCCCGATTCAAAGACAGGGGCACCTTGACGGGGCGGAGGACTGTGTCGGGGAGGAGCAAGCTCAGGGCACTGTGTGGAAGAGCCTCTCTCGGAAGGGGGAGGCTTCCCGCTCTCCTGCAGAACCCGCTGGGAGGATCTCAGGCTTAACAACGAGCCAAGACGCCAGACACCACGGAGTGCTTGTTGCATGATTCCATTTACGTAACAATCAAGGACACAGGAGCTAATGGATGGTCAGAACGGTGGCTCCTGGGGGTGGGGCGCAGAGGCGAACGAGGGAGGACCCCCTCCCCCCCACACCCCACACCCCCCGCCGGAGCTCTACTCTGTTCTATATCTGGATCCCAGCAGTGGTTACACAAATGCATCATACGCAGAACTCCACACTTAAAACCCATGGCCTGGCACACTAGGTCAATAAAGACGTTTTAAAAGAATTAGCCAGCGAGCCGCCCACCCCCACCCTGCCCCCGCCAGCTGGCCAAGCCCAGGGAGAGCAAACCCCGGCTCTCCCCATCCTGGCCGGTGGGTAGGCGTGGGGGACACGGTTCCACCGCCTTTTCTGGCCCTTCCACCCCCCACTTCCTTCTCAGTTTCAGGATCCTGAAGTCAGTGCCAGAAGGGCCAGGCCCTTAGCAACTTATTCTGACTCCTCACTTTCTGGGGGAGGAAAGCAGGAAGCAGAGAGCTGCAGGGCCCTCCTGACTGCCCCGTGCAGCACGTGGGCACCACTGAGGGGCCGGGTTCCTCAGACGCCCAGGGGGCAAAAGCCTTACCGGCAGAAAGGGCTCCTTTCCCTGCGGGCGGCCGAGAGGTGCATGCTTAGTGAGGTCTTGTCCAATCAGGCCTGTCCAGACGGGAGTTTCTGCAAAGCAGGAAGGTTTCCTACTTGATAAGTGTCTGCACCCCCCACCCCCCATCCCCCCAGCTGGGCAGGGCTCCCACAGAGCAGGGCAGAGGCGGGTGGGCAGGCCTGCGGTCACAGCACTCCCAGGAGTCCCGGAGCCTGGAGACAGGAGACGCTTTCACTTTCCATGGCCTCCCGAGGCCAGAGCAGGTGCCAGCACCTGGGAGTCCAACAGGTGAAGCCCCAGTCAAGCCTTTCCTGATTCGCGCGCCCCGCCCACTGTCCCACCCAGGCCCAGGCCCCCCTCTTCCACAGTCAACACCTGTTAGGGCTGAATTGTGACCCCCCACCCCCCCCTCATTTCATATGTTGAAGTCCTTACCCCAATACATCAGACTGTGACTATATCTGGAGTAGGGTCTTCAAGAGGTAAGTACGGAAAAGTGAGGTCACATGGGTGGGCCCTCATCCAACATGACCAGCGTCTTGATAAAGAAGAGGAGGTTGGAGACTGGGCACAGACTTACGCAGAGGAAGGCCTGGGAAGACACAGGGGGAGGGCGGCCATAACCAGCCACGGAGAGAGGCCTCGCGGAAACCCACCCAGCTGACACCTTGACCTTGGACTGCCGGCTGTTGTTTAAGGCCCAGCCTGTGGTATTTGTTGTGGCAGCAGGAGTAACCCCATCATCAGAACGTCACCCATTTTCACACCTGGCCTTGGCCCAGGCTGGCCCCTCACCGCACCTGGGTGCCTTTCCCCCTACCCTCTGACGAGCTCCACCTCTGGGCCTTGCTAACGGGGGATGATATTTCCCTTGAAGATCCCTGAGTGAGCTGATTGCTGTAACACTCTGACGCTGTGCCTGTGCTAATCTCTGATGCCACGTGTTGGCTTATGTCCTGCAGGGCCTCCCTCCCTCCCCAGACTTGGACCCAGAGGCTGCAAGTCTCTCCTGACTCATCTCCATGTCGCAGCATGAGCGACAGAGGGCCTGATAAACTGTCTGCTCCCGTGAATTGCATCGAGCAGTCTGCTGAGTGCCTCGGCTTAGCCCTGTCAGGGTCCCCGGCCCGCACACCCCTAGCTTCTCCTTCCGTGCCTCTGCCCTGCTCACTCCAGGAAAGCTAAGAAAGGCTTCAAGGTCCAAAGCATTAGCACTGCCTAAGAGACTGTGCATGCCAAGCAGAAGCCCGGGGAAGGCAACACATAAGCCAAAGGTGTGGGTAGTGAGTGATGGCTGCCAGGGGCTGAACTGGCTCCTTCTCCGGTTGGTGAGAGCAGCCCTGACCTGTCTGTGCATCTGAGGGTGTGTGTGTGTGTGTGTGTGTGCGCGCGCGCGCGTGTGTGTGTGTTGGGACGGACATACATGAGTGCATCTCGGGGTGGGAAGGACCCCACACTCACCTGTGTGTATGTGTGTGCATGTGTGTGTGTTGGGACGGGCATACATGAGTGCATCTAGGGGTAGGAAGGACCCCACACTCACCTGTGTGTGTGTGCATGTGTGTGTGTGTGCATGTGTGTGTGTTGGGGCGGGGCATGCATGAGTGCATCTAGGGGTGGGAAGGACCCCACACTCACCTGTGTGTGTGTGCATGTGTGCATGTGCGTGTGCATGTGTGTGTGTGTGTGTGCATGCGTGTGTGTTGGGACGGGAATGCATGAGTGCATCTAGGGGTGGGAAGGACCCCACACTCACGTGTGTGTGTGTGCATGTGTGTGCGTGCATGTGTGTGTGTTGGGGCGGGGCATGCATGAGTGCATCTAGGGGTGGAAGGACCCACACTCACCTGTGCAGGGCAGCGGGTGTAGAGGCTCTGCTACCCTGAAGGGAGCACAGTGTGCGGAGCTCAGACAGACTTGGGGCTTGAAGTGCAGCTCCTGTGCTGCCAGCCGATCACTGAGCCGGACACGGACGCCAGAGGGCCCGCATAGCTCCTGGCCTGCGGTGGGTGCCCTTGGCCCACGGGTGCGTCCTCCTCTGCACAGCGGCCTTGCCCAGCGCTGAACCTGCAGCACAGAAGGCATCCTCTCCAGGGCCAGGCTGGCAGGGGTTAATGAGAAAGGCTGGTTGTTCCTGAAAACAGAAGGCTGGTCGATAGGATAGCTCTACAGAGCCAGCATCGATCAGCCAGGGCAAAGGCCCTGCGGGGAGCCGCCAGCAGCTTCTCTGAAACGCCCAGAACAGAGCAATCCGGGAAGGCCAGGCCGATGGAAAGGCCCTGGGCGCGTCCGTCCTGGGGTCAACCTCCTCGGAGCACAGGGCTCCCTGCCCCACCCCAGGACGCCCGCGGATCCCACTCCAACCTCGGGTATGAGAGCTGGAAGGGACCTGGGCTTCCTCCTCTCGGTTCTTCCTGAGGCCCGTGTTAGGAACTCAGCCTCTGTGAGCTGTGAGGGGAACATGTTCACGAGTCTGTGGCTGGAATTCAGCTTTTCTTTCTATTAGGAACACAAGCATCAACTACGGTGGAATGAGGAGTCCCTAAGGCAGTGATGGTGAACCTTTTGAGCTCGGCGTGTCAGCATTTTGAAAAACCCTAACTTAACTCTGGTGCCGTGTCACATATAGAAATTTTTTGATATTTGCAACCATAGTAAAACAAAGATTTATATTTTTGATATTTATATTATATATTTAAATGCCATTTAACAAAGAAAAATCAACCAAAAAAATGAGTTCGCGTGTCACCTCTATCACGCGTGTCATAGGTTCGCCCATCACTGCCCTAAGGCCTTGTCACTAAGAATAATGACCGGTGTCATCCTGTCTCATTTGCAGGCATAGAATTCTCAAAACATGAACATGCCTACCTCAAAACGCCGTGGTGGCTAGACCTACACCGCATCTCGTTCAATGCGTTAATAAGTGAACACGTCACAGTGTGTGGGGGGGTTCTATTTGACAAGTTATTCTACCCATCTGATTTTACCAGCCTGCCCAAAGGGTCCATGATACAAAAAGGGTTAAACCTTCCTGTTCTGCTTCAGCACCCATGGCAGGTGGGGGCACTGCAGCCCAGAGCAGGCAGTGCTTTCCCTGGGTGGGGGACTTGGGGGGCACGTGAAAAATAGCATTGTGAGCCCGGCCGGTGTGGCTCAATGGCTGAGCATCGAGCTATGAACCAGGAGATCACAGCTCAGTTCCCCATCAGGGCACATGCCTAGGTTGTGGGCTCAATACCCAGTAGGGGGCATGCAGCCAGTCATGTTTCTCTCTCATTGATGTTTCTGTCCCTCTCCCTACCTCTCTCTAAAATCAATTAAACTGCATATTTTTTAAAATAGCGTAATAGTAACAATAACGATAACCCTCATTGACTGCCTACCCTGAGCCAAGCATCATTTTAAGTAATTTCGTCTTCACAACAGCCCTAAGAAGAAGAAAAGGTCACTGTCCCTATTGAAAAGATAAGCTAAGGCGCAGAGATGTGAAGTAACTTACCCAAGGCCACACAGCTCATAAATGGAAGAGCTGATTCAAACCTCCAAGCCTACATGCTGAGCCTCCCTTCTCTCTGACTGCTCTTGACCAGTCCGGGGAAGCACGGGGAGTGCTGAGCTCTGGGATCACAGACCGAGGTTTGAATTACGGCTCTGCTACTCGCAAGCCGTGTGACTGGGCGACGCTCTCCACTTCCACACATCAGATTTCTCACCCACATCACGGGGTGAGCAGTCGCATCTCCATCCTTGGTCTGCGTGGATGACTGACACATGGGGAGCGCTCTGCACAGTGCTGGCATGGAGTGACTGCTCAATGAAACCAAGGGGCAGACCTGCTGACAATGGTAATATGCGCCTGTGTGCCAAAACCTCCAGAAATTACAAAATTAAAAGTGTAGAGGTTAATACCCAGATCCCAGTTCTCGGCAAGATCGATAGGTGTCAAGAATCAGCAAGCGCCCATGGAATTCTGCTCTCGTGGTCAGGGAGAAGGGGAAAGGCTGAAGCTGGAAGCAAATCTATGAAAATGCCGGTCAGCGACTTCCTTCCAAAGAGGACGGTGCGGAAGGGGAAAGAGTAACACGACAGGAGTCACCGGCCAAGGAGTCGGCGTCCTTGGCCAGCTGCTCCAGGTTAAATGAACGGCGAGAAGGCATAGTGATAGCATGTACCTTTGATAAAAGAATGGCACTTTAATTCTACCTCCTGAAAACCCATAACCCCTGTCTAATCACAAGAAAAACATCCAACTCACATTGAAGGACATTCTACAAAATACCAGATCAGTACTCCTCAAAACTGTCAAAGTCACCGAAAACAAGGAAAATGTCAGAGAAAATGTCAGCCTGGAGGAGCCGAAGGAGACATGATGACTAAATGTAACACGGGATCCTGAATGCGATCCTAGACAAGGGTTGTTAGGTGAAACAGTTAAACGAAGAAAGGTGTGACTGAAGTGTGGACTGTAATGAATATTAACGTGTGGCGCAGCCCGTGTGGCCCAGCTGCTGAGTGTAGACCTATGAACCAAGAGGCGACAGTTCGATTCCCGGTCAGGGCACATGCCTGGGTTGCAGGCTCCATCCCCAGTAGGGGGCGTGCAGGAGTAGCCGATCAATGATTCTCATCATTGGTGTTTCTTTCTCTCTCGCCCTCCCCTTTCCTCTCTGAAATAAAAATATATTAAAAATACATATATTTAACATGTGAATATTGCTTCATGAGTTGTGACAATGTAGCATACTGTGTACGATAGTAACATTCATGGCTGTGGGCTTAGGGTAACGTTTCCAACTATTTTTACAACTTTTCTGCACATCTAAATCTCTTCTAAAATAAAAATAAAAAGTATTCTTTAAAAGAATGTTACAGTATATCTGAATGGTGGTTACAATTTCTTTTTTTTCTTTTTTTTTTTTCTGTACGAGAACATGTATTGGGTAAATTACAGAGGTAGACGTGATTCCTAGAAGAAATGGGCTTAGGAAACAAGTTATGAAGGTAAAGGTAGGGCCCTTGGAGCTTGGGAGTGGGGAAGCCAATGGTAACATGGTGGGGGGGTGGCAGGTGGGGGGTGGGGGTTGGGGAGTGGAGGGAAAGGCACGGGTGTGCTCCCTGGAGGGACAGGTGGCAGTTTCTTTTCTTACTTTTACTTCCCCGTGTTTTCTAAATGGTCTATGATGAATGTGTTTTGCTTTTGTCTCAGAAGAAATTTCAGCAAACTTTGTTTAAAAAAAAAGAAATGCATGAATGGGGTGTCTGGCCCTTTGGAGACAGAGTGCTTATAAATAAAAGTGTAATTGGCATCGTTCCTTGGGCAGCGGTTAAACCCAACTTTATCATTCTGCTCCCAGGAGGCTCCCGCCACCAGGGCCTGGCACTGTCCCAGGAGTGGGTGGTGTGCTCTGAACCTGCCAGCTCTCTTCCCGGTGGTGGTGCGGGGCTCTCCTGGCTGGCAGGGCAGGGGCGGGAGCCAGGGCAGCTGCTGCAGGGCCAAAGGGCTTGTCCCAGGTGAGGACTCACCGCTGACTCAGCCAGGCTGGAGGCAAATCAGCCCCTGGAAAATCCTGTTCCCCAGCTTCCAGGCCACTGTCGGCCTGCTTCGGCCAGTGGCCTAGGAGTCAAGAAAACCGAACATGGTCCTCTGTTCCCACCACACCAACAAAGGAAAGACCAGACCAGGCCAGACAGGGCCACTTGCTGTGTCCCAGGTAAGGTCGTTCACCATCATTTAGACTCAAAGGGTTCGTTAAAGCAAATAGTGGTGCCCCACCCCTCCCCACCCCCCATCTGCAGTTTCCCCTTCCATAGCAACGATGGTCTGAAAAGAATAAATGGAAAATTCCGTAAGTAAACAATTGATAAGCTTTCCATTGCACGCCATTCTGAGCAGCGTGGTGAAATCGCGCACCGTCCGGCCTCATCTCAGGTGCCACGTGACTCACCCCTGCGGACGGTGTCTCCTCGGTCTGTGCTCCCCGCTCCCTCGTTAGTCACCGAGCCGCCATCCCGGTTGTCACGTGGACTGTCCCGGTAGCGCCTGTGCTCCAGTCACCCTGATTTACTTAATAATCGGCCCGGATGCAAGAGTGGTGATCTGGCAATTTGGGTTTGCCAGAGAGGCCATACTGCTTCCTTAAAGCGAAAGCACCAGCTGCCCGCACACAACTTGTATTACAGCATATTGTTACACTTGTTTTACTTTGTTGTTACTGTTGTTACTCTTACTGTGCCTCATTTGTGAATTGAACTTTTTCACAGGTATGTATGCATAGGAAAAAAACATAGCACATATACACAAGGTTTGGTACTACCTGTGGTTTCGGGCATTCACTGGGGTCTTGGAACGTATCCCCGGTGGGTAAGTGGGGACTACTGTACTCTCACTACTCTGAGAGCTGAGGCTCAGAGAGGGTCCCTGAGGGTCACTCCTACACCAGAGCCTGTCTCTAACGCTTTCAGGGACGGGCTGTGAACTTGGCAGATGGCTGGACCACCGTTGGGGAACAGGATGCTGGAGAGAGTGCCAATGGTGGGCAGCAAACCATCAGACTTCCCACAACACCCCACCACTACCA